CCAGTTTTTTCCCCCGGGCCTTCACATCCTTTGAAGCTGCAGGGCCAGCCTGCCACTGCATGATCAGATGCAACCGCGGGTGAGTCAGGGTTTTTTTTTTTTTTGCCATTTGTTCCCGATGCGCTTAAACGGGGAATCGACGGCTGAGGTCAGACTGGCAGTTTGAAGCGTGAGGGAGTCATGGCAAAAAAGACCTGGAACAACTTGTTCCGGGTATTCCCGGTCACACTGCACCGACTGATGCGGGAGCATACTGGGAGGAGCCACAAGGAAGCGTTTGCACTGTTGACCCGGAGGCGCGGCTGTAAGCAGCTTTTTCTCACACCGGCAACACGTACCTACGTGCGTATGCACATCAGCAATTATCAATGTGGCTAGTTCGCACGGCTTGTAGCGTGCACACGTCCGGGAAGCGGGATTAATGCGCTCTCCAGGGTTGCTACTACTTTCACCTGGTATTTTTTAAACTCGGGAGGGAAGCGTTACAAGACGGGTTGAGTACGGCTGGGGAACGCCGGACAGATGTGCCTGTATGAACGGCCCCTTTAATCCGTTTGTGAAATGTTTGTGAAACGCGCCTCGGGCCAACCTGCCAGTCTGAACTCAGCCGATGAATCGCATCTCAGCATGAGGGCTCCATATGGAGAGTGCAACGATGCGCATGCTAAGAAGGGGGGGGGGGGCAACGGCATGGAGTCGGGATGGCCTGAGTTCCTGCTGGGCTTTTTCTACAAAAAGAGCCCTGAGTCTGGGCTAATAAGTATGCCATCTACCGGAAGCCACTTTCTCTGTCCAGGTGAACCTCTGGGGAGGAACAGAAGCAAGAAGGAGACTGTTGTGGCTGTGAAGGAGACCGTGCTGAGGAGAGTGAGAGAGAAGAAACTGGGCGGTAAAGCAACGCTCCCTCTAAACCGTGGAGTCTCGTGAGCAACAATTCTACTTTGTGAGCCACTGGCATGAAAGCTGTGAGCGAGCGATTTGGCTGCTGCATCAATGAGTTTGCTCTGGCGCCACCCCCTCCTGAGTGAAGGCAAAATTGTGTGAGCCGGAGGAGGCTGAAAAACTGTGAGCTGGCTCACACTCACTCAGCTGTGGCACCCTCTTGTGAGAGCCTTCTGTAGCAGGCTCAGGCTCATCAGAAGAGAAACCAGATGGGTTCCAGGAAGAGATGGGGGCTCTGGTCTCAGACTCAGGGGAATGGGCATCCCTCGAGAGCCTGAAGGCAGGACCTCACCACTGCAGGACCTGGAGCCCCTCGCTCCCGTAGGCCATAAGCAAGAGTCTGTGGATCAGACCTTGTCACTGGGGGACCCAGCAGACATATCTTAAGCAGTGTGAAAAGTACTGGGTTCGACGCATGGAGGACTGGGACTACGACAGGCGTTCAGACGCGTTTATTGTACTTCGCAACAAGACTAAGAAAAAACGGCCCTGCAAGGCCAACTATCTACACTCCACCCGGCACACCTCTGTCCCCATTGGAGGGTTTGAATTTCCCGCCAAGGGTGCTATTGGTGGACTCGAGGTGGGCTAGGATCCGAGGTCCCCTTTGTGTTTGGGGACCAAGCTCCTGCTTTAGCTGCGGACCCCTGGTGGCGGTCCGCGTACATAACACAGTGGCAGCTGTCCTGCTCGCTAATGTCCCATGAGCTGTACAGCTGCACAACCAGGTGTAATTGCAGCTGGCCCAAGACTTGGCCATTAAGGTGGCATGCTCTAGTCCCGTAACCAGGCAGCTGCTGAGGAAGACAGAGGCCTCAGGGTCAAAAAGGTGGGCACTGTGTGACATACCCCCAAATGAATATCCATACCATGTCCAGAGCATTGGCTGAACCCTCTGGTGCCATGGGCACTGCCAACAGGGTATCCGATGCTGCCTTTGAAAGGGCCGTGGCAGCTCAAATGGCCGACGCATTGCCAACGCCACACGCAGCCCTGCAACTCACAACTTTCCCCCCTTAAGGACGGTTTCATGGATCTCAATTCTCAGACCGTGAGCTCTACGGAGGAGCTTCAAAGGGAGATTACAAGGTGAGATGGCTGAGCTACAATTCATCAGCAAGGTTGGGACAATGCCCCCCCCTCTCCTGAGCCAAATCTTGTTATAGATGCAGTTTCTCTCAGAGCTCTCTCAGCCCCACCTACCCCACAGGGTATCTGTTGTGGGGGGAGGAAGGGAAGGAGATTGTAAGCTGCTCTGAGACTCCGAGTGAAGGGCAGGGTATAAATCCAATCCCTCCTCCTTCTTCGAAACAAGACTTCCTCAACCATTACATATAGGTGGTGGGGGGGGTTAGTTGTCAGGATGGGCTACTTAGGGTCAAGAAGCATAAGTAACTGAGCAATAAGTATAGCTAAGATTGAACAGCAGCAAATTGGCATACAGATAATAAAAGACTTAAAAACCAGATGTGACAACAAGGTTTGAGTCCAGTGATACCCAGAATTAAACTTTGTTCAACACCAGTTTGAGAGAACCAGGTTTGATTCCCCACTCCACATGCAGCTGCTGGTGTGACCTTGGGTCAGTCACAAGTTCTCGCAGAGCTGTTCTCTCGTGGACAGTTCTTGAGAGAGCGCTCTCAGCCCCACCTGGCTCACAGGGTGTCTGTTGTGGGGAGGGGAAAAGGAAGGAGATTGTAAGCCGCTCTGAGACTCCTTCGGGTAGTGAAGGGCCATGGGGTATGAATCCAATTGGTCTGATGAAATGTGCCTGCACACGAAAGCTCACACCTTGAATAAAAAGTTGTTGGTCTTGAAGGTGCCACTGGACTCTAACCTTGTTGTATTGCTTCAGACCAACATGGCTGCCCTTTGTTGTCGTCGAGGCGATTTAAGTCCAAAAAACCTGGGGCAACAGTAGGCTGAAATCAGGCTGCCCAACGTAGGGAGGTGACATAATGCAGAATGGGGAAAAAGCCCGGAATAAAAAGAAGGTTGAATTCAATTTTAGGGCAGGAAAGTGCAGAAGGGGCTGCTGTTTTGCTATGGACTTAAATTGCTTGGACTCAAACACTGAGAAAATTCGGAGTGGCAGGCAAATGTGGACAGGACCCAATGACTCTGTCAGGAAAGAGACTGGGCTGGTTGCTCAGCGACTACTGGAATCTGCAATGAGGGCGACACCAACACATTGAAGGTGTTTGGTGGGAATATAGTCATCCTTGTCTTTAAACACGGGAAGACTCTTTGAAGCTGAAGGAGGCATGTTGGAAGAACATTGGGGGGGGGGGTTGTTTTTAATAAATACATTTTTCTTTGTGGCCTTCCAAGGGGCGTCGTGAAGATAAAATGGACCCTATTCTGAAGTCCTTGAAGGACACGTTGGAAGTAAATATGAAAAAAAGCAAACTAATACGTAAATATTATCCTGCCTCCAGGAACTCAAGCTAGGGTTGTGTAAGTATAAAGTCCTGTCAAGTTACAGTTGACTTACGATGACCCCAGCAAAGGGCTTTCAAGGCAAGTGAGAAGCAGAGGTGGTTGGCCATTGCTTTCCCCTGCAGAATCTTCCCTTGCTGGTCTCCCTTCCAAGTACCAACCCTGCTTAGCTGCTAAGATGTGATTAGATATAAAGCCAAATAAACATACGGGTGCTTTATTGTTGCAGAATGTGGGACCATCTAGCTCCATACTAATAAATGGGAATCTCCCCCCGCCCCCCCAAGTTTGTATCCCTCTTCCCTTAGCGAATTTATACTGTGTGAACACACAAAGCCCTGCAAAAGCCTGTTCTTGCTTAGCAAATGCTTAGCTGGATTCGATTCTGAAGCCTGACTTTTGCTTCCTTCATTTCTCAGTGCTGTATTTCTGTCTGGATCCTACCCTCACCAGCCTGGCAACGAGAGCTCCCGAGAACGGAGGCCAAGTCGCTTGTCCTTAAATCGGTTTTCTTCAGCTCCTGCGCTTTGTATCTTGAAAACTAAATAAGGTTAACAGAAGAGGTGATTTGCGGTTTACTGGGTCAAAAGGAGGTGCATTTTGTCTGTAACCTTTGCAGAATCTTTTGTGAATTTCTGACTGTTAGCGGTTTAACAGACTGAGCCATCTCCCAATCATTGATTCTGGCTTTAGTTTCATTAGACGTATTCATCCTAGCAATAAACTCCATGCTATTTATTCTGTAATCATTTGAACCTGTAACTGAAGCAACAGATTATTCACACTCTAGGGGAAGAGATACAAAACAAAGAGACAGAGAGAGACTACATTTTCAAACATAACTTTTTTTTACTACCCCCCTCTTCCAGTTTTTCAAAATAACATCTCCAAGAGGACATCACGTTGCATTTGAAAAAGTTAAATGTATACAGTCTAAGAACATGCTTTAATTTAATTTAATCAGGGTTCCTTTGGGGGCTTTTACAGATGGGAAGAGTAACCAAGTCCAGCGTCTTTCAAAGCACAAAATTTCATTGGGATGAGGACAGAACATGAACGCAATCTTGCCACTTTACAAAAGTTTTGCCCCCACCATTAAAAGGCTCTGTGCCTCAGGTCGGATGGGGTAACACAGCATTGCATAACTTAGCATGCACGACTTTGAGGCATCTTTCTCTCACATATGACTCAAGGCATTTGGCTTAAGCACCTGGATGCAAAAATCTGGCTCCTGTATGTGGCCAGTCACTGGTATCCAAGGGAGACAGCACAAAATTCTTCAACATCTTCACTCCCCCCTCCCCCATGGAGCATTCGTGCAAAACATACAACATCTTTACATGCAGGAAGAAATTTCATTGTGCACAGAACTGGCTACCTTAATTTTTTTTCTTTTTGACATTTTTTTTTTTACAGGTAAGGACTTTGATCCTTCTCAGCACACAGACACATCTTTCCTCTTTCCTCTGCTTGCTTTCTCCATCTCCCTTTTGGGGCACCATTTAGCAGTGTGAAGCCACCAGCCATCCATTCTTCCAACCTCAAAACTGAGTTCCAGACTTGCGGTGGGATTCTGTGAATGTCTGTCCCCCAAAGAGAAGCAGCCCCACCTTCTCCTCTCAATACAGCCCCATGATCGCGATGCCAACATCTTTGGATGGCCGCCGGTCTTTGACGAAAAAGTTGATCATGCTCTCCGACTTAATGAGAAGGTTGCATCCCAAAAAGAAGACCCCGAACACCACAGTCAACGAGAGCACACAGAGAACAGCAATCTGGACCACTCGGGAGATAAAAAGGCTCCTCTCATCCGGGAGCAGGACCGAGGCCCCTCCATCGCTGGCCACCACAATCCCCGTCCCATTGCAGCAGCCAATCAGAATGCCCAGGTCTTGGGATCTGTTGGAATAGACTCCTTGTCCTGCCAGCGTCTGGTTAAAGAAGGTCCCATTCATTTTATATTTGGATCCACCAGACTTTGCAGAAAACCGTCTTGGGAGTAATTGAGAAACAGGAGACGGAGCCCAAAGGTGATCCCAAAGGGACAGGTTCTCCCCTGCCAGTCACCGGTGCGGTTCACTCCTTGGTTCTTTCTTGCCAAGGCATTTTGTAAGCACAAGGAGAGTCCAGAGATGGAAAGTAAAGCTCTTCCTTGGCACTCTTCCACCAAATCTTTTTACAGAAAACAAGGCAATCCCAGACGCCGAATTTCCAGGCACGGGGGAAAGTGAGCAGGCAGGCAGGCTGGAAACTTGGGAGATGCACGATGCTCTGTGAAACCAACTCTCACAAAAAACCCCACCCCAACTGATTCTAAGCGCCGCCTCCATCCCTCCCACCCGACAGTCAGAAAGAGCTGTCTGCTTACATCCCCTCCCATTCTCCTGACGGCCACGTTCAGTTCCAAGATGCACACAGGCATCCTCAGAAAGCAGTGGAAGGACTGATTTCTGTCTCAAGTGTCTCCTGAACTGGGGGGAATGCCACCTCACCCTTCAGGTGCCCGGCTCCCATGGGCAGCAGTGCGGATTAATTAATTCTTCCGTTCATCCACATGCATCTTTCACTCAGTGGTAATCTGCCTGCGCAGCACAATGCCCTCTTGGTCTTCCCTTTTGAGGTTTTTAAATAACTTCCCCTCATTGCAGTTTTGACAGGAAGCAACATGTGTGGCCTTTAAGCCTCTGAAGAAGTCTTTTTGTGGCGTAGTGGTTCAGAGCGCGGACTCTAATCTGGGAGAACCAGGTTTGATTCCCCACTCCTCCACATGTAGCTGCTGACATGAACTTGGGTCAGTCATAAGTTCTCTCAGAGCTGTTCTCTCAAGGGCAGTTCTCGATAGAGCTCTCTCAGTCCTGCTTACCTCACAGGCAATGCTCCCTCTAAGCTGTGGAGTCTTGTGAGCAAAAATTCTACTTTGTGAGCTCCTGCCATTAAAGTTGTGAGCGAGCGATTTGGCTGCTGCATAGATTAGTTTGCTCTGGAACCATCCTTCCTGAGCTGGGACAAAACTGTGAGCCAGAGGCTAAAAAACTGTGAGCTAGCTCACACTAACTCAGCTTAGAGGGAACACTGCTCACAGGGTGTCTGTTGCGGGGAGGGGAAGGGAAAGAAGAGTGTAAGACACTCTGAGACTCCTTCGGGTAGTGAAGGGCAAGGTATAAACCCAATCTCCTCCTCCTCCTCTTCAGAGTGGGAAGGGACCAAAGGCCCACTCCCAAACGCTGAGCCGCGTGCTTCCTTGGAGGGGAAAAGTGAGTGGAAGGCTCTTGCACCTGAAGGCTTTCTCGGGTGGCGGGGGGCGGGGAGTTCAGTTATTATTCCAGAGAGAGGCTGTCAAACAGTGATTCCCATCCTGTGGGTCGGGACTCAAAAGCGGGTCACAAGTCTCCGAAAGCAGTTTGTAGACCAGCCCTCCACAATGGCCAGCTCCAGGGCTATTTTTGGGCAGGAACGCACAGGAACGGAGTTCCGGCTGGCTCCCAAGTTGGCCACGCCCAGCAGGAACTCATTAGCATAACAGGCCACACCCAACAGCAGAAACTCATTAGGATTGGCTACATTAGGGGTGTGTGGCCTAACATGCAAATGAGTTCCTGCTACAAAAAAAGGCCCTGGGTTTTGACAACAAGCAAGGTAAACAGAATAAGAAGCAAAAGGTGGGTGTGGCTGGATGAGCACACTTCTGGTAACATGGGGGTGTGGCCTAATGTGCTAATGAGCTGTGGTGTCAGGGGTGTGGCCCAATATGCTAATGAGTTCCTGCTGTTGGGTGTGGCATATTATGCTAATGAGTCCCTGCTGGGCTTTTTCTACAAAAAGAGTCCTGGCAGCTCTATCCTTTCCACGGCTCTCTTTTGTATCATGGAAACCGAGGTCTGACCCTGGAAGTGGCATCTCCCATTTTTCTCCTTCCTTGCATGTACATGTTGCTCAAGTAAAACTTGTCCGGAGTGAGGACACACTCAACCGTTTTCTAAAGCACTGCTGGGGCACGAGGCTGAGCATACCCTAATGCACAATGAGATGTGGCCAGTCTGGCCCCCACCAGAGCACACCCAGAACACATGGGCCACACTCCGTTTTCAGTTCAGTTTTTGCTTACCTATTGCACTTCTAGAAAAGAGCAAGAGTCCAGTTACACCTTAAAGATGAACAAAATTTGTGGTGGGGTAGGAGTTTACTTTAAAGCGAGCAGTGACTCACGAAAGCTCCTCCCCTGCCACAAATTCTGTTTTTCTTTAAGGCGCGAAAGTGCTTAGAAATTCCTGGCTACGGGCCTGGGGGGCACCTAACCGCAGAGGCATTTGAGAGCTTGGTAAACAAAAAAAAAGGGATGCTTTCCATCCTTCTGTTCTGTCCGCTGACCACCACCAGGGGCCAGCGAATACCCCAGAGCTTGACACTGGAAGAGCAATGGGGTCTAGGCTCCTAGTCTCTCCACTGGGGGAACCAATGGGACCGTGGCGGGAGATTTAAACCCACCAACGGGACCGAGGGGTGTGTCCCCAGGTGTGTATATAGTTGGGCAGCCGGCCGTTAGTCTTTGTTTTGTTGTGTACCAGTAAACCATGCTGATCACTACATCAGTCTCAGTGGTTTCTTCATGTGTTTAACCCACTACACTTCCCTGTTCATTCCCTTGTGCTCCACCTCCCCAACTTGTCCCCAAGATCCACTCAGACAGAACCTTATCAACAGCACCTTGTCAGGGGAAGGTGGGTGCAGAAGCTTAATTTTAAAAACAAAACAAAACAAGAACACTGCCTCTGCACAACCCGTCCAGCCAGCTCCCTGCAGGCCGGGCCGCCCTCTCCCACTGCGACCGTTGATTTAAAAATCTTTGGCCAACCCCCCCCCCCCCATCACAAGTAACGTCCCAACCCGATTTGGGAAAGTGCCGTTTTTAAATTGTAGCTGTAGAATAAATACACCGGATGGTATAAGGCTGGCGTGGATGGCGGGAGCGAAAACCTGAACTCAAGTTTAAAAGGGCTGACTGCTCAGAGACTCTGCAGTAAGTTAACATTAGAACATAAGAACATAAGAGATGCCAATGTTGGATCAGGCCAAAGGCCCATCCAGTCCAACACTCTGTATCACACAGTGGCCAGAAATACCAGTGCCATCAGGAGGTCCACCAATGGGGCCAGGACACTAGAAGCCCCCCATTAGATGCCCCACAAGCACCAAGAATACAGAGCATCACTTGCCCCAGAGCCCCTATCTATACCTTGTGGCTAATAGCCACTGATGGACCTCTGCTCTATATGCTTATCTAATTCCCTTTTGAAGCTGTTCATGCTTGTAGCCGCCACCACCTCCTGTGGCAGTGAATTCCAAGTGTTAATCACTCTTTGGGTGAAGAAGTACTTCCTTTTATCCGTTCTAACCCGACCGCTCAGCAATTTCATGGAGTGCCCACAAGTTCTTGTATCGTGAGAAAGGGAGAAAAGTACCTCTTTCTCTACCTGCTCTTTCCCATGCATAATCTTATAAACCTCAATCATGTCACCCCTCAGTCGTCGTTTCTCCAAGCTAAAGAGCCCTAAGCGCCTTAACCTTTCCTCATAGGGAAAGGGTTCCAACCCTTTTATCATTCGAGTTGCCCTTTTCTGCACTTTTTCCAAAGCTATAACATCCTCTTTAAGGTGTGGTGACCAGAATTGCGGGTTGCGGGTGCGGAAAGGGACGGAGTGTAGGCTGAGCTTGTGCTGCATCATAGGTTCGGCGGTTGTATAAGCAGCCATTCTCTCATAATAGTATTGGTTCTTGAGGAAAGGCAGATTGGTGTGTGTGGGGGGGAAAGTGTTTAAAGTTTAAAAAAAGTATTCTGAAGCTTTGTAGAAACAATTAAGGTGTATTAAGAATCTGGCTGTTGTGAGGATAACCAATAAACAGAGTGATTAGAAGTTTGGATCTGGGAATAAGGATCAGGACGTGACTGAACAGGGACATTCAAGCCAAATTGTACCCCTCCCACCCCTGATTTCAGGAGAAAGTCTGGCATTGAGGTATATGTCACATCTCTTGCGGACAGAAGAGGGCAGTAAAGGAATAACAAGGAAAATGGTGTACGATACGTTAGAGCCCCGTTTGTTCTTTCTATATATACCGCCCCCAATCGGTTTTAGAATCACAGAATCACAGAGTTGGAAGGGGCCACAGAAACCATCTAGTCCAACCCCCCCCTGCTCGATGCAACTGACCTCCAGACTGGAGAGGCAAATTCCCCTGGAGAAAATGGCTGCTTTGGAGGGTGGGCTCTATGACGTCATACCCTGCTGAGGTCCCCTGTCCACCCCAGGCTCCCTCCCCCGAATTTCCAGGAATTTCCCAACCCAGAGCTTGAAGCCCCATGTCCTGATGCTAGTCAAATGACCAGTGGGAGAGGAATGAGGCAGAAAATGAATGTTACGGGTTTTGGACACCCATTTCCATAGTCTCTACCCCAAATCCTCCCAGGCCTAGGAACTCTCTGAGCCTTTCAGAGTAGTCTAAGCAGGGGCAAGAGCTCATTAGCATAGCTCATTAGCATAACTCATTTGCATATGCCACACCCCCTGACATGGGGGGAATGTGCAGATCTGCCCTCACAGAGGAGGGAGAGCTTTTACCTGAATAAACCTTGGTGCAGGCTCCTCATGGCCTGGGGCTGCTGGGAGCAGGGGGCGGGGCTTGTTGCATGTGCCCGCCCCCTGGGCTCTTTACTGCCGGAGCTCTGCTCCTGTGCGCTCCTGCAGGAAATGACCCCTGGGAGAAGGAGAGAATCATTTAAGGCACTTTGGGTCCTCACTGGGCAAAAATGAGGGCGTGAATGAAGTAAATAAATAAATATTTGAACAGATGCAGTGAGCACTCTTGACAAGCCAAATGTCTCAGTCAAGAGAAGCACGAGACTCCTAGAAAGCCTGTACTTGGCAGCAGAAGAGTCTAGCAGCACTAAAGATTGCTG